AAAGGGTAATTGGGTGGGTACAAAGGATTAGGTAAATTGTGTTTTCACTGGTTTGTTTAAAGTGTTTTTAACAAATGTAAAATATTTATACCTTCCTGGAGAAGGGGATAGTTGGTGTTTTTGAAAATATACGTTGTACATGAATCATGTAAAATTTAATTTTAATTACTCAAACATTTGGGGGATACTGAACGTAAACAAGTTGTTTTAAAAAAGGAATAATGAAAGTAAATTTTTTACAATAAAACAGTTACATATAAAGAATTTTTACGGTCAGGGGCCGACATGCAAGAAGGGGGGGGGTAGTGCTTTTAGAAAGGGGGTGAAAATTCCGTGCAGGAGTAAATCAGGAAATTTGAAAGTACTTGCCAAGGGGACTTTTGGGTTTGATTTAGTGTTCCCGACATAATGCCCTTTCTTCAAGATTGGAGCGGTCATTTTTTTTACTGAAAAGATTTGTCTTTCCCAAATTTAAATGTTAATTGGAAAGTACATGTACATGGGAGAATTTTTCATCACGTTTTTCACATGTAATATTCCCTTTATTTTTATGTCCAAGTATGTCTTTTCCAAAAAAATATAAAAAAAAAAAAAAAAAAACTATCTCCCTGTTTTCCACCCCCCAAAAAGGCAACCACCAACCCCTAAAAAAGGCCCTCCCCCCCCCCTTAAAAAAAGCCTTACATTTTAAAATTTTTAAATACCCAAAAAATAGCACCCCCTCCTTTCCCCCATCAAATCTGCTAATTAAACCCCTCTGTGATCAAAAACCCCCACGAAGGGTTTTCACCCTCACAACATCTATACCCTGCTTAAAAAAAATTCTGTCCTAATCGCGGGTTCATATTTCCCCCACGGACGGGAAAGATCTCAAATAGGGAACCCCCCCCCCCCCCCCCCACATCAAAAACCCCAATATCTCGCAATACAAAAACCACAGCACACTCAGCACACCCAAACCCCCCCCTCTCGGTTCGGGCATCACCACTCCTAATCACACAATTCCAATCACCCCCCTATTTTCTGTTTTTAGCAGGGAAACCTCTCAAGTGATACAGTTAAAACCTCTCGGGCCCAAAAACACTTTTACCCTGATATTACTAGTTGCTGGCATTAAACCCCACGAAAAAACTCGACTCTCACCCCAGACGCCATCCCCCCTCACGATCCTCCCACCCCCCCCCTCTTCCCAACCGATGACACGCAAGGGGCTGTCTCCTTTACCGAAAACTGCTCCCCCACCTTTCAATTGAAAACCCAAAGGGTTTACATACATCCGATATCCTTTCACCCTCAACACACTACCAGCCCTGTGATTATGCTCTTGCAAAAAGCATATGTCAACATCAAACCGCCTTAAAAACCACTAAAACCAAACTTTCTTGACCTCAGTCTTAAGTCCATTAACATTAAGCGTGACACATCTGAAAATTACAGAAGGGGCGGCTTCCCCTATGCCTCGGGGATTTACCCACTGCACTTTTCATATTACGTGTTCCTTTGCCACTCGAGTTTTCCTGTGCAATCACTTCCCCCTCCCTTTCCCAATTTGCAACCCCAGGCACACCTCTACCACTATGTGTCCTCGGCTCCACAACCGCTGCCCATGACTTCTTCCCCGGCCTCTGCCCTGGGGTAATGACCCTCTATCTCTGATGCCGCAGTTCGTTTCCTAGAACTCACACTTACACACATATCACCCCAGACAATTCCTCCTGGTGTACTCCACGGCCACCACATGCTCCCGCCCAATCTTACTCAAGTCTTCCTCAAAAATTTGTTGTCCCCTCCCAAAATTCCAGCTTCACATGAACTGAGGACACCTTTTGCACGGGTTCCCCCTCATCCAAAAAATCCTTGATCACATCTGCCAAAAACCCATCCCGGGTTGAAGCTTCCTGGGCGAAAGTCTCCTCAGATGTCACCTTCAACTCCCCCGACGCCCCTGGGGAGTGACCATGGTCTCCCCCGCCGCACTCCCGGTCGACCTCTTCGCTCCAGAGGTCATTCCTGGCCTCCCGAGGCATCAGAGCCAGGCACCAAATTACACGACTGTGAAAACACAATTGGAGTGTCGAGAATTCGAGAAGCCCGCCTCCTAGGACACTGGGCTGCCATGTGCTCATAAGAGCTTTCATAGACGACATGTTTTCCGTTGCCCAGCATAGTACACATAAACCTGTGTTCTACAACCCATCATCGTAACATAGGATGGTATAGGCCTTGTTAAGGTCATTTTAGGGTGTAAGAACCTTCCGGCATTCCTTCATATGGACCATCCTCCACACCCCATTGTTGCAGAATGCACTGTCCCATAAACTTCGAAAAAACTCCTGCAGGCCATAAGCCGTAGCTCGAAGGGTAATCCGTACCTTCACCCATGTGAATTACTTAGAGACGTCATGTAACACAACATCCATCGTTGAATTCACACTCATGCGTTGTTCCTGGTAATGCTCGACAATTCTTGTGTAGTAATCGACTCGTAGAAATTTCACAAAGATTCTTGTTAAACCATTAAGGGCGACGCCATACAATTCCTCGTTGGGAATAGCATATGTATCCCTGATGATGTTAGGGAGAAGGACGTTCATCGTATCTCCACTTAACGTACCACGAACCAGCTCTATGCAGATAGTATTCACTCTCCGTACTGTATGTTCCGCCATGTTGATATCCCAATGAGCAGCGCACGTCCTCACTACTGAAGACAGCAGAGGGGTGCCGAGACAACCTCACTCCACCGTGGTCAGGCAGCGAATGACAGTATATATATTTGTTTGAATAAAACATCATCCAAACTAACGATCATACCTATCATTTATACATTAAAACACACCCATACCAATCGTATGCCACCTTCACTCACACATATTCAAGAAGCCAGCCTCGTGTACCCTTTAAGGTATTAACTCCCATAAATCCCTGACCTTGAATCTGCAATATCCCTTTGAAAATAAGAAAAACCATCTATTTCCCGTAATGTCTTTATTTCTCTGTTGTGTACCATAAAATATCGCTACCAGTGCTCTGATTCTCTCCCTCACAGATAAATGCCTATATACCCATGACGTATATACAAAATCCGTCACTAAATATCCGATTGCATTCTGTACCGGTGTTTCGACCCACCCCCCCACATCTAAACTTAAAGCTCTTAAGACACTAAACCCACCCCCACCCACCATTCTTAACACCTTACCAAACCACAATCTTACGTGTTCCAATCTCTTACAGAAATAAACTGCATGAAAGACCGTATCAGGATCTCCACACACACAACACAATGAGATTTATAATTTTGAGTAAGAACTGATACTGTGGTTTTTTTTATTCAAATTATTATGTTGTTTTAAATAAAAATAAAAAAAAAAGGCAGGGCAATTATTTTTTTTAAACTGCCGTATCTTTTTAACATATTGATTATTTACCCATATATTTTTTTTTACCTTTTTTTTAAAAAATAAAAGAAAAAAAAAAAAAATTGAGTGGTGTTTATATATATTTATAAATATATATATTTATATATAAATAATATATTTTATTAATATATATATATATATATATATATATAAATAAAATGATATTTTTATATAGAGTTCACTTTAATATCATTTGTTAATTAAAAAAAATTTTCCCTTGATTGAAGGTTTAAAAAACGACTCTGAGTAGGGCGATAGGGGTTACAGCCAATTAAAATTAAACAATTTGTAGGTAAGGTGGGCGGGGGGAATTGTAGGGGGGGGAGGGGGGGATAGACACCTCTGTGAGGGTAAAATAAACGGTGGGGTGTAAAACCCACATATTCCATGGAACTTTCCCCTTTAGTTCTTTTCATTTTATCGGAGTTTTTTTATTATTTATACATTTATGGTTAATATTATTTTATTTATAGAAAAATTGGGTTCATATGAAAAAATTTGATTTAAAAATTTCATTTTTTACTGGTTTAAAATATTTTTTAATTTAAATTCCCCTTTCTTAGAGCTTCCCAAAAGTTTATTAGTACATACCCCTCCCGTGGGGAGTAGTTATATTACGGGGTACATTTGGGGTTCCCCGGGACTGTTAACTTTTCCCCGGGAAAACAATTTCTGGGGTTAGTCCCTGGGTCCATTATGTTCCCCGTAATCTTTTTACTACCCCCCCCTACAGGGTGGGGTATGTAAGGTGCCCTTTAAAAAACACATTAAACCCCATTCAATATAATGCAACTGTAAAAACACCATTTTTATTAAACCTTCCTTTAATACACTAAATAGCCTCTTAAATAAGAAAATTTTTTCCATATGCTCAATATTCCCTATAACACTTGCATTAGTCGGCTAACATGGAACTTCATACGGGATTTGCATAAATTTTTATTTAAATACTCCAGCGATCTCGCCTTAAATTTACCCTACACCTAAAGTCTATACTAAATAACTGGTTTGCATATAATCATTTTCCAAATTGTTACAGCACGCGATGAGTACTTAATGACTTTCATGCATCACGAACCCTTCCCCTTTAGCCCTTTTTCATTATAGTAACCCTCACACACTTACATTGCCACCCAGTGAACTGTCGGTTCAGTAATCGACAACTTACCCATCCTTTGAAGTAGCTTACTTCATTATATATTTAGTTCCGTATTAGTAAAGCGGAACTCTTGTACAATTCAGACTGACACTGGCCTAGACCGCTACTAGTCCAGCATTACCGTGATCTCTAGACTTCCTGCCCCTTCTCTTAAGTTTCGTAAAAATTCCACCTCATTATATATTGTACGAACTTGCTTGCTATTTTTAGCATTGTTAAACCTGTGATGCTGAGGCTTCCATTCCTTCAGTAAAACAATTAAGACGTACATGTGCCATAATATACATTATGTTCGTAATTATTTAAAATTAAAGGACTACTCGCATAGTCGCAACTGCTCACAAATTTATTAGTCTCAACTCCTTAGTTCTAAAGTTTGCTTAAACATTTACTTCAAAAAAATTCTTCATGAAGTCTGTTTAACGTCTTCATTAATGCACACGCTTGCCAACGTCTCCCCCTTACTTCTTAATTACTTAAATTTCCTTCAGCTATTCCTAGTCTTGCTGGTCGTGACCTCGGTGCTAAGTAAACCACAGAATGACGAGCAGCCAGACGTGCAGGATGAACCACAAGAGAATGTAGACGCACTCTTATTAGCTAATGGCCCACAAGATGACTTGGCAGCATTAATACTTCCTCGCCCACCAGTCGATTCTGAAAACTTCCATGAACCATGCAACTACTACTGCCGTAAACCTGTGGGTCCTCACAGAGGAGATTTCTATTGTTGTGGACCAGAATCCCTACCAATAATAAGGGAACGAAGTACGTATAGTTAAACCTCAAACTTCCTATTCAATTTTCCCTGTTGTATTGGTTTAATTTAACTATGCCATACTTTACCTTGATTAAACAGAATAAAGTAATCCTGTATTATCTAGGGCACCCTGGTAGATGTCCTCCTGCCTTGACAACGTGCACTTCTCGCAGAGCATTTGCCGCTCCCCCAGTAAGTTCATAAACGTAATTGCCAACTAATACTTTAAATTGAAAAAACACCTTTCCTTCTCAATTTCATAATTTCTCCTTTCCAGGTATGTCCTCACGATGGTCACTGCCCTCGTGCCCAGAAATGCTGCTTCGATACCTGCTTAGACTACCATACCTGTAAACCAGCGCACTAACTATTGACTATATAAAATAAATTCTGCCACCTACCTATACTTTACATTTTCCTTAAATTCAGGTTTTACTATAACTTAAATTTTATTACTGAAATAAGTGTCCCAAACGAACTTTAACAGTTCTGTGTATATATCTCAAACATTAAAAAAAAGTCCTACCTCCCAAATTTAACTACCTAGCAGATCTAGTTCTACAATCTTCAACGACGATTCCTTGCAGTAAACCCATCTATACACTCGCACCACTTTCTTTTATTCCTTAACTTCGGGGTCCTTCCTTCCACCCACCTCCCCTCCGCCCTGAACTTTCCTATATCCAATCTTCGCATGTGTTTTTTTTTTTTTTTTTTTTTTTTTTTCCCCCCCATGTAAATCATTCCTCGTCAATCTACATAACATCTTTGTCCTTCCCTTTCCATTGAGACCCTAACCAGTAGTTTGCCATAGAATCTTTATTTCCCGATCAACGCTTGAGAAGTGGCTTTCCTCAGTGATTAGTTCCTCTAGAGGCTCTACTTTCCAAAACTCTGCTACTGACGATGGTATACCTGTCTCTTCCCCACCTTCTTCAGAAGGTGGCTCAGTGGGCGAACTTATTGTTACTGGCTTGTTGGCATGAAAGGCTGCACTGAAGTATTTAAGGGTGCGGAAGGGGGAGGGTTTTGCATCGCTTTCGTTCCTATGAACCATTTTCCCCTTCCTACTTCTTAGTTCCCTAAGTCCTACGAAATTACTCTTCCTGGGGCTGAGGGAGCTGCAGCACCCTCGTAGGACTATCTTTCATTATCGTATCACCGTTTTGAATCTTTCTAAGGTCCTGGTAGCTTCTGAGTGACATAACTCCTGGTACAGGATAACTACTTCATATATCAGACCTCCGCAAGTCTTTGCCCGTGTTTCTGGCTTCAAAGGTGCGAAAATTCAGATCGCCCACCCATTTTCACGAACAACTTCGGTCTCGCCAAAAGACCATTAACGGATTACACTGCTAAACTACCAAGAAGTGGTCAACATGACACTCCTTGCACACCAACTTCCAGTACAAAATGGGTAAAATTTTAGTCCTGATAGTATCAAGGCACTTGTGGCATGGTAAGTGAAACTTAAATTCTCATTCCAATATAGGCTGCTTCCCAACCAGAAAACCAGGTGCTGGTTGGGAGAAGTCCTAAATAGGATCAGTCATTATTAGTACCTCGATTCATTGGCCACTTAGAAAAACCAGCCAAACTTATGAAGTATGTGGCTCGCTTGACAACTGCCGTACTTTTTTTTTTTTTTTTTTTTTTTGGGGGGGGGGGGCTGCTGGTTGACTAAGGCATCCTCCTGGCTCTTTTTACAAAGTGCTGTACACTTTGGTATTACTGTACATAAATACCAGAGTTTTTGAGTTTACTTTCATTGCTCTGCTTTATCCCATTTGTGACAATGTATAAAAACCACATTAAACCAGTTTGTAACAGCACTCTTGCACAGTTTCTAAATTTCTATTCAGTGGTGCACGCGTCAATACGGAATGCTGGCCAGGCTTTCTTTGAATTTCTATAAAAATTCTTTTTAACATGGCAAGTTTCTGTAACTTGCACTGTTGCTGTAGTTCTGCCTCTTACCACTGATTAACATTTCCAGTTGTGACGACATGCTGAGAAAACCAGAGCTCAAACTCCAATTTTCAAAGTGGGCACATACGTACAACCTGCTTGACAAATCTGCAGTGTAGCTTGCTTGATTAACCTTTCGACTAGTGAGCTTCCGTCCTGTTTTAATATTTTGCCATCTGGCGGAATACTGCAGGTCCATGGCAGATTGTTCAGTCTGTGGTGCTGCCTACCACACCAAAAAATCTTTCAGCCTCCATTTTCTTAATTGTAAAGCTCTCCTCATTACAAGCTTACTTCAAAGAACTAAAAATCGGCTCAGGCTTCACTTGCGTCATGGCAATCTCCTCTCTGCCTCAAAGGGGAAACTTTCAGACACTGTCCTCGGTCTTCTAAACTCCCTCCAACCTCGGTGGCACCTGCTGTCTCGTCTGGTCACAATTCGCCAGTTTCAAACTTTTGCAGCCCTGGCCTTGGATCGCAACCTCAGCGCTTCTGTCTTGTCTACTTCGAATGAATCTTGTCTAAAAGACCTCACAAATACCTTCCCTTCGCCTCTACTCCAAAATTCAAATCGTCCCAAAGTTCTCATCTCCTTTAAGGAAGGATAGTAGATTGCCTCGGAGGCCTATGGAGTGGGCTTGGACCAAAATATTTTTAAATTAAACTTATTAAAACCAAAAATAAACATAGAAAACCACTATCCCTTAAACAGGTATCCAAAATAGAATTCGTAAGCACAGTACATCATATGAATTGGTAAACATTCCGACGGTCGCTATATACACTTCGAGCCACCTAGGCCGTTCATCATGCATAAATAAAAATCAGGCAAGCTTCGTGGCCCACATGTCGTCCTACTACAAAAATGCACTAAGACATGCTATAATAAATCATATACCCCTATCTCCTTAACCACAATAGATATAATCACATAGCTAGATCTATAGCATGTTTAGGAACATTTTGTAAAACATTGACAAAATATTACAAAACGTCAATACACTGTTAATCATTCGTCTCTCAATCTGCGGGCTGAGAGGACGCTTTCTGAGCCTGCTCCTGCTTACACCTGGTGGCGAACCGTGTACTACAGTACGCAAGATGGCGGATCGTCAGGGTAGAAGAGTAAACACGGTCTGTGAAATTTATTCGTGGCTCTGAGTGGTGCAACAACGCATGTCTTGTTGCCTACCATTATTCGCGACGTCTATGGCATCCCCACTGAGGAATTATATGGTGTGGCTCTCAATGGGATGTCGAGGTTTTTTGTAAAATTCGCAAATGCCGGCTTTTACTCAAAGATTGTGGAAGATTTTCAAGAGGAAAATGGCGGTGAATTCAGCCATAGAGGTATGCCTGCATGACTTCTCCACATACGTCACCTGGGTCAAAGTAAGGAACGTGCCTTTCGAGGCGGAGGAGTATGTTATTCGGAAAGTTTTGGGTAAATACGGCACAGTACATGCAGCGACCAAGGGAGTATGGAGGGAGGGCCCATACGAGGGGCTCCCGGAAGGCTCCTGCACCCTAAAGATGACATTAAAACAGCCGATTCCATCTTACGTTTATCTAGAGCACTACAGGACCCAATTTTTTGTTCACTATGCAGGCCAACGTAAGACATGCAGGTTATGCAACTCGTATGACCATATGGCTGCTCAGTGCTCCAGACGCCTGGTTGTACGTATCCGGGGAACCTTCTCCTGCGGTCCTAAGAACCGAGGCCTTTGATCTGGAGACTGGTCCATCGCCTGAACAACGTCCTACGCTTTGGGGTGAGGGAGAACAACAAGAGGAGATGCGGTCTATGGCGTGTGCCACTCTGTCGGTGGACACTACAAACGTGACCACACCACCTGTGGGGCCTACGGAGCCTGTGGAGTTGTCACAGGAAAGTTTGCTGGAGAACGTGCTAAACGATCTCCTGGATGGGGCAGAGCATAGCCCAGACGTTTCACCGTAGTGTCAAGAAGTGGTGAAGGACGATTCGCCAAATATGGGAGACCTGGACGTGACTACAATGACACGGTTGCATGAGGTGGTGGTGGTGGAAGTCCACCAGGAGGCTTCGGCTGGTGAGATGTGTGGAAGGTGGTTCCCGCAAACGGACGGCAGGAGTGTCTGATATGGACGAGGTCCTGACACCAGGACAGTGGCCAGGGAAGAAATTATGGTCGAAAGTGGCTGAGGCGCCTCTTGCAGCCGGGGTTATGGCAAGTGCTCAGCATATGGGTAGGGCACGGGGGGGTGAGGGGGGCCTTGGGAAGTCAAAGGTCAAAGAAGGTCAGTGTAATGTACGTGTGGGAACGGGAAAGACCCACAAACATAGAGGAAAACCTCCTTTTGTGAATTCAAGTGTGTTACCATCAATGTAAATGGCCTGCCGGCAGAGTTTGTGTGTGGATGGAGTGGTTCTTGCGCTGGTAAGCTGTGGACGTATGTTTCATACAAGAACACAATTATAAGTTTGGGCGAGACTTACGGTTAAAAGGCTACAGAATGTATGTTAGCAGTTCTTCAAAATTAAAGGGTGGGGTAGCTATAGCGGTGAAGGAGTCCAGCCATTGGCGTGTCTTAAGATGGGAGGAGGGGGGAGGTGGGAGGGTGGTGAGGGTAGATGGGTACTGGGGTGAGGTGAGGGTTTGTTTTATTGGCGTTTACATGCCTGCGGAAAGCAACACTAAAGTTAAAACAGATTTTGTGAAGGAGGATTTAACGTTTTATGCTCGGGGTTTGCCGTTCATTACCGTCATGGGTGGGGATTGGAATTGCGTTATCCGCCATAGCGATGTTGAGCCGAGGGGGGCGGGGTGCGTTTTACCTGTCTTACGGAATCTGCTGGGGGATGCAGGGGTTTACGATGTGGTGGGGCGGGGTGGGTGGGGGATGGAGCATACGTTCGTTCGCAGGGGCTATGCGGCACGCCTGGATAGACTTTATGTAACACAAGGAATTAGAGTTGGGCACGTACAGACCTTTGATGTGGGGATTTCAGATCACCGTGCAATGCTAGCGGACTTGAACTGGGATGGAATGATCAAGGTTTATCCAGGTTATTGGAAACTGAACGTGCGGCTATTGGAGGGGGAGGGGGATGGGTCAGCTTTTCAGGACTGGTGGAAGAATATTTGGGAAACGCGACGGCCAGGTGAATGTTTGTTGGAATGGTGGGAAACGCGTGCCAAACCCGGAATAGCGAGTTATTATAAGAAGCGGGGAAAAGAGGAGGCGAGGTGGAGGTATGGGCTGCAAAACTATCTGGAGGGGCAGCTAAATGATTACTATGTGGGGGGCGGTAGTAGTAGGTATGACGACATTGAACAACTTCGTAGTCGACTTGCAGAAATTCACAATGAACGTTTCAATGCGGTTAGAGTCAGAGCAGGTATGGAAGAAGTGCTATGGGGTGACAAACCTTCGGGTTGTGTATTGAGAAAATTTAGGGTCAGGCAACAGGCGACGTCCCTCTTGCAATTGGAAGTATGCACGGGTTTGGGTGGTTACCTGCCGGGTCAAGTACTCCTCACCACGGACAGCATGAGTTTTTATGCTGATCTATGGTTTGGGGAAAAGCTACAGAGGGAAGTAGGGGGGGTCCATGAGGGCGACCTGGTGAGGAGGGATTTCAGAAAAGTTATAAGTGACAGGGATAGAACGGTACTAGAAGGTAGAATTCGAGTGGAGGAGGTAGAGGAGGCGATTTATAGTATGAGTAAAGGAAAGGCACCAGGTATAGATGGCATTTCGAATGATTTTTATAGGGCGCATTGGGGAAGTATTAAGCATTGTATGGTTGATGTATTAAATTGCATGCTCATGGATGGGAGGTTAGGTATGTCACAAAGTACGGGGGTAGTTGTGTTGGTGCCCAAAAAGGGAGGGGGGAGGGGTCTGAGTGCATATAGAGCAATATCTCTTATGTGCTCTGACTATAAAATCTTTGCAAAAGTTTTAGGAAACAGAATGAGGAAGGTTATGGGGTCGGTTATTCACGAGGGACAGCTAGGCATACCAGGTAGGAGCATGAGGGACGGACATGTATGTATTAGGGAGTTTTTGGAGGAATGTCAAGGGGGAGGTGTCCTCGGGCTTGACTGGCAAAATGCTTATGACTGTGTTCCTCTTCAAGGGGGGCTCCTTGGCGTGGTGAAGAGGCTCTTGGTCTGAGGAATTAGACCTATCGGTCTTCTTCCTCAGACCGAACCTAATTACCCCCCAATCTCCCCTCCCCTATCCCATCCTCCCCTTTTTCCTTTACTCCTCCTCCTCCCCACCCCTCCCTTTTGCCCTTCCTCTTTTTGTCCTTTGGGATTTCTCCCACAGGCGCGCTAGTTCCTAGGTAGAGGAAAGGATACCGGGGTCCATCCCATTCCGTTGAGGTTCTTAGCGGTGGCGTAGTTTGCCGTGGAATCTGGATCGCCTGTGGATGTCCCGATCCCTCTCCGGTATCCCGGAGTAGCTTTGGGTGTCTTTCGGGCGATGAGTGTATCTCTGGAAGCCACCTTTCGGATTCCGGGGGTGGTGGCCGAAGGAGGTATGCTTTGTGGCGGATATCCGGCCGCCCTCTCTTTTGTCCACCGAGGTAGCTCGGCAGATGTGAGGTTGCTATCCCGGATTGTTAGTTTACTAGCATGATCGGTAGGGTATGGCACGGGTTCCATGCTGCATCTGTGCTACTTGCGATGCTGAGGCCCTCTTGGGCGCGGAGGGAGATTTCTGGCCCTTTCATTCCTCCTAGGAACTATCCCTCCCTGGTCCCCCCTTTTTTTATTTTTTTTTTAATTTTTATTTTCTTTTCTTTCTTTTTTTTTCTTAAAAACAAAAAGAAAGAAAAGTAACCTAACCATGGCAGCCCTAGTCCATGAACCTGGTACCCCCGGGCCCCTTCTTGATACCGCACCCCGTTCTGACCCCGCCTCGTCTTTGGACAACTCTTCAGACATTCCTCATACCTCTGTACCTATTGCCGGTGCTGTTTCCTCACCCGCTTCAGGTACTGAGGCCTCAACTGACTCCTTCGAATTATCGGACCTTCGCTCTCCTCTGACTATGCTTCCAGCCTCTCCCTCTACGGTGCGGCAATTTTCAAATCGCCGACCCGTTCCACGTCGGACCAACTCTGGTCCCACGCCTAAACGCCAACGACAATTACCTGCTGATGATAATTCTCCACCTTCTCGTTCTTCTCAGAAACGATCGACACATCCTTCACTACCTTTCCACGCTCAGTTTCAGACTGAACAATGGACTAAATTCTTCACTTTACGACCAACTTCCTCTACTGCCTATCTTTCTGACCATAGTATTGGCAAGGCACTCCTATGCCATGTTGGTAAAGATATTTCTTTTCATGCTCTTAAGAGCGGTACGTGCATCATTACCATACAGAATGCTACCCAGGCTCATGAGCTCTCTCGTCTTTCCCATATCGATACTGTTCCTGTCATTCTTGAAAAACATCATTCCCCCAATTCTTGTAGTGGTACCGTCATTCTGCCCCATACCATAGTTCAACAAAATTTCCAGACATGTGGCACTGACATTCTTGAACAGCTGGAACTCAAAGACCTCCCAATCCTCAAGGTAGACACTTAGGTTCTTCCTGCCCGTGGGCGGAGACGATACCCTAGCAATGTGGCTCGTTTAACTTTTGACATCCGAGAACTCCCATCCTCAGTTTATATAGCAGGACATCGGTCACAAGTTCGAAAGGTGATCCCTACACCACAACAGTGTAGAAATTGCTGGCGATTTGGTCATCCAGCGAAATATTGCAGATCTATCGCCGAATGCCCAGTCTGGTGCCGATGACCATTCTAATACGTCTTGCAATCGATCTCCCTCTTGCCTTAACTGTCATGAGGCTCACCCTTCATACTCTCGCCGTTGTCAAGTCTATTTAAACGAGCGGGAAATCCGTTACCTCAAAGAGACAGAAGGTCTCCCTTATGCCATGGCAGTTTCTCATCTCCGCCTCCAAGGGAGACTCCCACGTGTTTCTTATTCCCATGTTTCAAAACGTCCCCCCACTTCTGGTATCCCATCTTCTACACCCACCTCTGTGGTTACCTCTCCCATAATCACTCCTGTATCTAATCCTTTTGCTGTCCTCGGCTCAGACGTCCCTACTTCAACGCCTCAGTCTAATTTCCCTTCTTCGAGTTCTCTCTCACAAGCCTCAGTATCGACGAGACCTCGTACGACACCACCTCCCAATCGTCCCTCTACTTCTCAAAAGTCAAAAAAAAGGTCCGTTAACACCTCCTACCCATTTTCCACCTCCTCATTTTACCCTCCCTGTCTCTGTCCCTGGTTCTTCCCCTCTCACTGGCTCAGTTACAAGTGTAGAGGTTCACCCTCCTCCTCGTACTGTACCTTCCTCCCCTGTTCCCTCCCAAGTTTCTTCCTCTTCTGCCACCTCACAGGTTCCTGCCTCTTCTGTCCCCTGCCATGCTTCTCCAGTTCCCTCCACCCTTTCGCCCCCCCCCCTACCTTGGTACAGTCCAATACAGTTCCAATCTTTACTCATCCTCCCCCTACCATTCCCAATATTGTCTCCCATACGACATCTCTGAATTCCGAAACACTTGAAGCAATCTCTGAATATATTGCAGAGACCAAACCATCAATGGACACTGATCCACCTTCCACTCTTTCTCTCTCCTCTGCTCCATCTGCGCAACTCCTTTCTTCACAGCGCACCGTTCCTTCGCTGCTTGAACGTTTTCCACTGCCTATGCATGTGGACTTTTCTAACCCCTCTAGTCCGTAGGAACCCTTACCTGCGGATTTCAAGTATCTTTATCATTGCCAATCATGGCCTATTTACAGTGGAATATACGCGGCCTCAGGGGTAATCGGGGTGAGCTTCAGATGTTACTCTCCCAGTTTGCCCCTGTTGGTGTTTGCTTACAGGAACCAAAATTACACTCTGCTGTTATTTCTCACATCTCAGGCTATAATTTATTGTATTCTTCAGATCCTTTTCCTGATGGGACCTTTAATGAAAGTGCCCTTCTTCTACGCACTGATATTCCGTACCATCAGCTATTTGTTCGTACTTCGCTGCATTACACAGCAGCCCGTATCCACTTACATAGGTGGTATACGCTCTGTTCATATCTCTCTCCTTCTCGGGCATTATCTATTCCAGATTTTGCCTTCCTTGTTTCGTCATTACCGCCACCAATTCTGTTACTTGGTGATTATAATGCCCACCATTTTTTCTGGGGGGGGTCTCACTGTGATTCCCGTGGAATTCAGTTAGAGGCTTTTCTTGCCACCCACCCCCTCCATGTTTTAAATACAGGTACTCACACCCATTTTGATCCTCGGACTCATACTCTCTCTTGCATCGATCTCTCAGTCTGCTCTTCCTCCGCCGCATTAGACTTCACTTAGTCTGTTCTCCCGGACTTACATGACAGTGATCATTTCCCAATCATTCTTACTTCCCCTTCATATTCACCACCTCTTCGCACCCCACGCTGGCAATTTAATCGGGCAAATTGGAACCTTTACTCACACCTAACTGTTTTTAAAGAGGTTCCTTCTTCGTCCTCCATCGATGAGCTTTTACACCTCTTCTCGTCCTCCGTTTTCACCGCAGCTTCTCATTCTATACCCCAAACTTCGGGCAGGCATTCTCAGAAATGCGTGCCTTGGTGGTCTCCTGCTTGTGCTCGTGCAGTACGTTTGAAACGCGCTGCATGGGGCAGGTACCGGTACAATAGAACCACAGAGCGAATCCTTGATTTTAAACAGAAGCGTGCGATCGCTCGCCGTGTCATTCGTGATGCTAAACGCACTTGCTGGCGAGATTATGTCTCCACCATCACCTCTGCTTCCTCTATGAGTGCAGTCTGGAAAAAAAGTAACGAAAACTGAGTGGTAAATATTCTCCTGACCCGGCTCCTGTTCTGCAGGTTGCCGGTGTTGATATAGCAAACCCACTAGATGTTGCCAATGAAATTGGCAATCATCTGGTCCGTATTTCTCAGGGACTCCATCTATGCCCCTCATTTCTTTCCTCAAAGTTTGCCAGAGAGTTAGCACCCTTGGACTTTTCTTCTCTCAGAGAAGAACAGTATAATGTGCCTTTTACACTTCAAGAACTAGAGGCAACACTCTCAGCTTGTCGATCATCGGCAGCTGGGCCCGACGATATTCATATTCGTATGCTACAACATTTACATCAGTCAGCCCTTGCAGTCCTATTACGCCTTTACAATCTTATTTGGTCACAAGGAGTTCTTCCACAGCTGTGGAAATCCGCCATTGTTCTCCCTTCCGCAAACCAGGCACTACGGGACATGAAACCTCCCACTATCGTCCCATTGCTCTTACTAGTGCAGTTTGCAAAGTAATGGAACGCCTAGTAAATAGACGTTTAGGGTGGTATTTAGAGACACACAACAGTCTCTCCACTCGTCAGTATGGCTTTCGTAAGGGACGTTCTACCATAGACCCCTTACTACGCTTGGATACGTATGTTCGTAATGCCTTTGCGAATAACCACTCAGTTATTGCCATATTTTTTGACCTTGAGAAGGCATATGACACAACTTGGAGGTATAATATTTTAGCCCAAGCCCACTCCTTAGGCCTTCGAGGCAATCTACCATCCTTCCCTAAGAACTTTTTAACTGACAGGCATTTCCGTGTTCAGGTTAATAATGTGCTCTCCCCGGACTTTATCCAAGCTGAAGGTGTCCCCCAGGGATGTGTTCTGAGCACAACACTTTTTCTCCTTGCTATTAATGATTTGGCCTCTAGTCTTCCATCAAATATTTGGTCATCACTCTATGTTGATGACTTCGCTATTGCCTGTGCAGGCGCTGACTGTCACCTCATTACAGTTTCTCTCCAACATGCAGTCGACCGTGTTTCCAATTGGGCCACCACACGTGGGTTTAAATTTTTCCAGCACTAAAACCCACCAAATCACTTCACTAGACGCTCTGTCATCTCCGATCATCCTTTGTACCTCTATGGCTCCCGTATCCCTGAACGTGATACAGTCAAGTTTTTGGGCCTCCTCTTTGATCGTGGGTTATCCTGGAAACCTCACATTACCTCTCTGAAGGCAACTTGTCACAACCGGCTGAACCTTCTTAAAACTCTTGCTCATCTTTCATGGGGAGCTGATCGTCGAACCCTCCTTCGCCTACATTCCACCCTTATTTTATCGAAACTTGATTATGGTGACCAGATCTATTCAGCGGCATCTCCTGCTACTCTCTCTAGCCTTAACCCCATTCAACACCAAGGATTACGTTAATGCCTTGGTGCTTTCCGCTCTTCCCCTGTCGAGAGCCTCTATGCAGAAGCGAACGTTCCATCGTTATCCGATCGCCGTGATGCCCATTGCCTGCACTACTATGTACGCTCTCATGATCTCCACAATCCTTCCATTTATAGAATGGTCACTGATGTTAGTAGACATTCTTTATTTGTTCGCCGCCCCTGTTTACTCCGTCCCTTCTCTCTTCGCCTTCATTCGCTCTTGTCTTCTCTTCAACTACCACCTTTCTATGTACATGTAGCATCTCACTTTTCCCTACCCCCCTGGGAAGTTCCAGCTGTTCGAGTCTGTTCTTTCTCCCTCCCTTACTCGAAAGCCCAACTGTCTACGGTCGCTTCCCGCTCTCTTTTTCTTGACCACTTTCACTCTCATTCTCATGCCATTGCTGTGTACACAGATGGCTCTAAGTCTTCTGACGGCGTAGGATTCGCAGCAGTGTTTCCGGACAGCGTCGTACAAGGGCATTTACTATCTTCAGCTAGTATTTTTACTGCTGAATTATATGCCATCCTTACAGCACTTATCCGTATTGCATCTATGCCTGTGTCATCATTTGTGGTTGTCTCAGACTCCCTTAGTGCTTTACAAGCTATACAAAAATTTGATACACCTCACCCCTTAGTCCTCCGTGTTCAACTTTGGCTACACCGCATCTTTACCAAGCATAAAGATATTGTTTTTTGTTGGGTCCCTGGTCATGTTGACGTACAGGGCAATGAACAGGCAGACACTGCTGCGCGGTCAGCAGTACATGACCTACCAGTTTCTTATAGAGGTATTCCATTTACGGACTATTTTGCTGCAATATCTTCCCACCTTCACACCCGTTGGCAACAACGTTGGTCTACTATGCTCGGCAACAAACTTCAGTCTATTAAACCGAGTATAGGTTACTGGCCGTCTTCTTATCACCAGTGTCGAGGTTGGAAGACTACTCTCTCCCGTCTTCGCATTGGCCATACTCGTCTTACTCATGGATATCTCATGGAGAGGCGTCTTGCTCCTCTCTGTGAGAATTGCCAAGTTCCATTAGCAGTCAGCCACATTCTGTTGGACTGCCCTCTTTATCAACGAGCACGCAAAAATTTACCTCTGTCGTCGTCTTCCTCCGCGCTCTTCTTTACCTTTCCCTTTCTCGCTGATGGCCCCCCTTTTCACCCGGGGGCTCTCTCATTGATTTTTTTGACAACGACTGATTTACTTCACAAATTCTGATACCTTCAGCCTTTCTACTTCAATCTCTGCTACCTTCTACCCCCGTACTACCCCTGCCCCCTGTTTTCTGTAACCTGCTGATCACCCCCCTCCCTTCTGCCATCCAATTCCTTGCTTCCTTCCCTACCCTGCAGCGCTGTAACCCCTTTGTGGCTTGCTTCTTTTTTATTATAATAATAAATACTCTTATACATTATTGTATTTGTCCTATGTTTTAAATAAAAAAAAAAAAAAAATGCACTTAAAATTGTGGCTTAAAACCCATAATAATCGGATTTCGGGAGTTTATCTGGAGAGATTTCCCGGGGGGTCAACGCCCCCGCAAAACAAACGTAAATTTGCAACCAAGGAAGCTTTTAAGTTTAACATGCAGACATAACAAAGCCCCATGGAAATATAGAAATAAAACTTATAACCCGATGCAACATCCCTGTGCAAATAGTTGTTAAAAAAATAACGCACACGCAACCCCCTCCCCCCCCTTTCCCCAAAACAGCTTACTGCCTCATCATAACCAAAACAAAAAAAACTTTAATTTAACAGGGTTGAAAAAAATTTTCTCAAACAACTTCAACATAACCACTTTCCCGCATAACAAGGAAATACAGTCAAAAACATTATACATAAAACAAAACCACAATGAATACGCCATACAACACACATACCTCTCCAAACACGTAATTAAACCCTACATAATACGCAAATAAAAATCTACTTAAACATACAATCACTTCATAGAAAAACAAGTATAATAATATAAAAATTAAAATCCAAAAAAATTTAAAAAAAAAAAAAAAACATAAATCAACATATCTTACACAGAAGCTTTTTTTCACATCCTTCATACATACCACACCCCTGCGGACACGGGAATACTTTAGTTAAAAATGATACATTAGCATAATCATTTTCGATTCCTCGCCCAGCGCCGGGAGGGTGGACGTTTGCTACCCTCTCTGACAGGCACAAGTGCTACCGGGCTGCACAATGGGGGTGGGGTGCGACGCAGAATTAACACTGCGGCTAAAATTACGAGAGGTACAATTAATCAAAAATTGGGCCCTTGCGTTTTTGCCTCTGATTTTTCGAGAGGCATGGGATTGAGGATTGCGACCTTTACGGTGAGCCTTAAATAGAAACTACAGAATGTTCGTGAAACTGCTGTCACACAGGTGTATGAGGACTTGGTCATCATCGGGGATGTGCTACGGGGTTAACGAGGGCATCCGGGGAAAGAGGGGTCGTTTTTCCGAGTCTTTTAACGTATGAAAAGTTACGTAAGGTCCCTTTTCGAGGAAAAATGAAGCTGACCTACTATGTGTTGGGGAAGTTTGGAACGTACACGAGCTCAACAAGGAAGGGGAGGGCAGGGGCTTATGGGGGGGTTACCCAAAGGTAGTTTTTAGCCTAAAGAAACTGAGGCAACTATACCTTGGGAAGTGTCCTAAAAGGAATTATGACACAAAACTTTAACTTACGCTGGCCAACGTAAATTTTGGACTGTGTAGGGTTTTGATCACAGTGTACGGCGGAGACGGGCCAGGGAAAAACCAAGGAGTGACTTTTCGGGCGGGGCCCTAC